TATAGTTCAAGGTTGTTTGAAGTCTCTGAAAATATTTAATGAAGAGACTTTATCTTAGTGCCAACACAGGAATAAAGAGTGGGCTACATGCTCTTTAAGTTAAGCTAAAATTCCATCTTGTCTTTAGAAGACCCTTTAGATCACTCCATCTTCTGATACTTCAGCCACAGCAGATAATAACTAAAGGAGGAATTTCCCTGTTAATGAGGGTTAACTGCAAAGGACACCTATCACATCTCTCCTTTGAGTTCTTGCTGGCCTGTTTGCCTGTGCGTCTCCACGCATGCCTGGACAATGTGATAACTTAGTTGAACTTCCCCCTCTAGCCCCTCACACCCTGTAAGCTTTATGCTTAACCATCATTGGTGTTTTCATCTCTCAAGCGTTCTGCTCAAATGTGCACAGCCTCTTTATGCACATGTCAGACCACCCATAGATCGAGTTTGGCATGAGCAGGAAAAATAAGAGAAGTAGAGTTCTGAGACACACTATGGCATAGATGAACCTTGAGAGCATTGGGGGAAAAATCATTGCCATCAAATCAGAACCAACTCAGAGCTGTCCCTCCAGCGGGTTTCTGAAACTAATCTCATAGGGAAAGTGCTCTTTCTCCTGAGGAGCCAGTGGTGGGTTCAGACAAAGTGGTGTGGCCTTTGTGTTTACAGCGCAACTCTCCATGGGCTATGTCACCAGAGATCCCTTGAAAGCATTTAGCTGAGTGAAATAGGTCAGACATGGTCTCACTTATTATCTCACTTATGTGAATTATCAAGACTGTGTGAAAGCATAGAGACCAAAGCTGATGATTAGTGGTTACCAGGGGCAAGGGGAGCCCTGGTGGCCTAGTGGGATAGGAGTTGTGCTGCCAGCACAAAGATGGTTCAGATCCACTATCTGCTCCTCAGGAGAAAGATGGCAATCTCCTCCCATGCAATTTGTTGTTGTTTGTTGTTGTGTACCTTTTAGAACTGACCCATAGCTGACCCTCTGGTGGGTTTTGAGAGGCAGTTGGAAGGAGATTGCCCATTCTTCTTCTGCGGAGCAACTGGTGGCCTTGATCCACGTTCCTTTGGGATTGCAGGATAGCTTCTTGCCACCAGGCCACTAGAGCTCCATGTACTTTTACAGCCTCTAAAAACCACTTGAGGGTCAACTCTGAGTCAGTTCTGATTTGATGTAATACTTTTTTTGGGTTTGAGGTGTAAGTGGGATTAAAAAAAGGGGAAATTTTTCTTAAGGGGTGCCATGGTAAGGGATGATGAAAAATTGGAAAAAGGATCCTGATGATGGTTGTACAAGATAGTGCATGTAATTAATGATATTAGATTGTACATATAAGAATGGTTGAAATGGCAAATATTTTGTTATATATGTCTCATAATGAAAAACATGGAAAAAAAAAACAAAACCAGAAAGGGGAGAAAGGGGCGAGCAGGGCCTCCGTAGAGGCTGCAGTCTGTTGAGTGAGAACAGATTGGAAACGAATACTGAATGAACATCATTTCCAGGCATGCTAATGACAAGAACACTCCAAATTGGCAAAAGCCATCCTGTCAACAAAGATGGACCTTTTAAAAAAATGACCCACAACGTGGAATACTTATGTAGAATCTCTAGGTTCAAAACTCTTTTCCTTCATTATGATGGAGAACTGATTAAAACTAAGCTAATAAAACATGGAGGGGCAAATTTGGGCCACAGTTTGTTATATTAACAAATTATCTTGGGATCTTATTTCCTTTCAAGGAAGAAGGTCCATCCCTTTGGGGATGTAACTTTCTAAGAGATGTATAATTACTACTTAACCTTAAAAAAGCCCAAAACACTAATTACCTTTGTCAAGAATGAAAGAAAGAAAGTGTCCAGTTGTAGGACCTCTGCTGGAAGTTGATACCCACTTCCCTCGTCCTTTCCTCTTCATTTCCAGGCTGGATGAAACCATTTCACTTACCCTCACTACTGAGCTTGGGACATCCATCGTATAGGCCACATTCATTCTTGCTATTAAGGAAGCAAAAAGTCCTTAAAATTCCCAAATATAATTCATTTGAAAATACAGAGTTAACTGGTCATTATCTATACATGGATTATCTCTGGCAAATTTGTAATTCCAGGCTGGCTTCCTCTTCCCACTCAGCATGCTTTTAGGCTAATGGCAGTGTATTTTGCTAGAGAAAGTCTCAAGGGATGATATAACTCAAGAGCATCAATCACTGCACCACTACATTGGCCTGAGACGGAGTTGAGGGAAGGACGACATTTCTTCCTTGAATACTCAAGTTCAAAGGCAATGCCAAATGTTGCCTTTCATAGTTCACAGAGCAACACAGAGGGGCTGGTATTTCCAGTTCCTGCTCTACTAAGGCTTGGAGACAGCCAAAGGAAGAAAAATGCCCTAGAACAGCTGCTTATGTTTTAAACATTCATCATCTGTACAAATTACCATTGGTAACAAAGGTTCTAGTCTTCCAAAGGAAGCTAGAGAACCACTGCTGTGGTCCTTGATGTACTTGAAGATAGCTGGAAATGATGAAAAAGAAAGCAAGCATGTGGGATTGTTTTGTATCCTAGAAAAAATACTTTCATATTTTCAATAGTTCAGATCTGCACCCTGAAAAAAAAATGGATACTCCACTCCGATGCCTCCTTGTTCCTTTTAACCTTGATAGTCATCTCAATAAATAAGAGAAATTAAATAAAATTAAAAATTAGTAGATTTTAAAAGGGAAAGGCCTAATAGAGTCTAACAGAAGAGTTACATATGAGGGACACAGTATGATCTGGTGACCTCTGATGTCACATGACCTGAGTTCATGATCTCAACTGCAGCACCCCTGCCTTCCCTGTGTGCCTGGATCAATTGACTCAGGCACTCAGCTTGCCTCTGTGTAAAAATGAAGTAACAACAACATATATCTCATATTAAAAATTAAATGAGATATTTGATGACAGTATCATTCTTTACATGTTATAAATAATCCATAGGTCAAATGGTGAAGTACATTTGGGAAATTCCTTTCTCAGATCAGCTTTCTTCCTTTTTACAGAAGCTGCATTCAGAAGACACTGTAAGATTTTTAGTTTGTATTTAAAAGATCTCCATGATGCAGGAACATGCATCGCACAGATTCTTCCCCCTACTTCACCTCTGAGGCCAAGTGGAATCCAGCATCTCTCCGACTTGTATAAGGACATTTTCCTTGGAACCCACTTAGAACTCTGACTTAGTTTCCTAGAGTAGCTGTAATCAAATATTAAGTGGGTTGTTGCTGTTGGTATGTGCCAGTGAGTTGCCTGTGACTCATAGCAAACCTATGTACAACAGTTCTGAATCCTGCTGTATCCTGAGCCAACCTTAATGTCTCTGACACATCTACCCCCATTACTCTAGTCACTGAATCAATCCATCTCATCCAGGGTCTTTCTCTCTAGTACTGTTGTCCATCCTCCCTTATAAATATGATGTCCCTCTCCAAGGACTGGTCCCTCCTTGCAACATGCCTAAAGTATGTCAAAAGAAGCTTCAGAGTCCTTGCCTCCAAGGAGCAGCCTTGTCTCACCCTCTTTAGGATGAACCTGTCTACTTTCTTAGCAGTCCATAGTATATTCAATACTCATCTCCAGCACCATAGCTCAAAATTCTTCTTCTGCCATTCCTAGTCATTGTCCAGCTTTCTGATGCATAGCAAGTAATTGCAAAGACCATGGCCTATAACAGGTGCACCAAGTGGGTGGTCTAGGATAAATGACCTGGGATTTATTGTCTCTCAGTTTTGGAGGCTAGATGTCTGGATCAGGATGCTGTCAGGACCAAGTTTTCTTCCTTATTCTATAGAGATCCTTCCTTGTCTCTTCTCATTTCTGATAGACCTCAGTGCTTCCTGGTTCATCTGAACTATTAAGGAAATAGTTTTATAGAGTTGTAATCAAAAATTACATGCATACATTTAATCTATGGATATATAGCGATTAAAACAAGCTTGGTAGCAGGAGTGGCATCCACTTGCATAATACCTTGCCTCTGGAAGCTCTATGAACCTGGAGAAAGGACGAAAGTTATACAGGTGTCCAGGACTTTCATTCATAGGGTTGCTATGAGTCACCTACCACTCGATGGCACTTAACAACAACAACAACAGCATAGAGAGAGACAGGGGAGTTGGCCTCAGGCCTGCCTTTAATTGTTTTTGGTGAAACATTCTTGTAGGTTGTGTAACCCTAGTATGTCCATTTACTGTACAGAGGCAACTCATGGTTTCTGTGAAGCCAAACACTGTGACACCGATGAGTCAAATGTGAGAATAGTTACCCATGATAGACAGTGTTTGGTGGAGCTCCCCGATTAAAACAAGCTTGGAGCAGAAGTGGCATCCACTTCTGTAATAGCTTGCCTCGGGAAACTCTATGAACCTGGAGAGAGGATGAAAGTCACACAAGTGTTGAGGACTTTCCTTCATGGGGTCGCCTACGACTCAATGGCACTTAACAACAAACAGCACATTTTGGCAAGCTGTGTAATATTTTAAACTTTTCTTTAAAAGTAGAGTGACTCAGTAAAATATGTCATGTTTAATGCACTGCATCTCCCACCAGTGACTGTTACACCATTTCACTCATTTTTTTCCTTAGCTTTTAGATGCATCTTTACAAAATGGCTGTCTTTCCCTTGTATGGGTGTGTCTCCATATCTGTTCTCCTCTTTTAAAAGACCACTCAAAAGGCATTAGTCACCCCCATGATGGTTTACCTTAATTGAGATCTTCAAAGAAAAGTCCAATTTCCAACAAGGTCAAATTCATAGGTATGAGTTTAGATTTCAACATACCTTTTAGGGGGACACAATTCAATTTAGAATTAATAACCAAGGACCAAGGCAGAGAGAAGCAGCGTGGGTCATAGCTCATCCACGCTGACACAGGGTCTGTCCGCAGGTGGGTTCACCTGGGCAGGGACGGCCACCCTCCAATGACATGCGTTTTCCTCCTCATTGTCTCTCACAGCTCTGTGGGAAGGAATTCAACCGGATGCACAATCTCATGGGCCATATGCACCTGCACTCCGACAGCAAGCCTTTCAAGTGCCTCTACTGCCCGAGCAAATTCACGCTGAAAGGAAATCTGACACGCCACATGAAAGTCAAGCACGGGGTCATGGAGCGAGGCCTTCACTCGCAAGGTGAGCTCAATCCAGGAGCCGCGTGGGAGCACAAATGGAGTGGAGAGATTTTAGGGTAGAGGGGCAGTCAGGCAGACATTGTAATAGGGACCCTGATTTTTAAAACCAAAGCTGGGTGGTAAGAACACGCTTATCACATTGCTGTGTAAAAATTGAATGCTCAGTGGCATCCACTTCCTAAATAATATGTCTCTGGAAACTCTGTGAACTGTGGGAAACAATGATAAGTATAGAGGCTTCAGGTCTTTTTTTCATAGAGTCACTATGAAGCATGCTTGACTTGATGGCAATCAACACCACCACCAACAAAATATCTGAAGATAATTAAGTAAAAATTAAATCCAGAATGTAAATAGAGCATAATAACAGTGCTCTACTACTACCTAAAATGGTGACAGTCAGGATCTTTTTTGGTTCTTTTTTCCTAGGCACTAGGTTAGGTGCTTTTTCACCCTGGAAGCTCGCAATAGCTCCAGGATAGAGGAGCTTCCATTATGCTTATCTTACAGATGGACAAACAGCGCCAAGCATTGCCTAACATTGTTCAAATGAAAAGTGGCCATGTTGGTATTTGAACCCAGATCTTTCTGTCTCAAAAGCCTTCACTGGCCTCACTTTATTGCACTGCCATTGAGCACATGACTTTGTTTCTTTCCTTTCTGAAAATCAGGTCTTCAAGTTCTGCTGTACATAGAAGTGTGCTTCTAGCAGGCCAGGTCTTCGCTCACTGTTCATAACGAGACAAACCCAATGACAATTTTTCTGCTTGGTTAGGGCTGACTGGCTCATATGCAAAGTGAAGAATTGTATGTCCCCCACTGGGTCCTAACTGAACTAATGATAAGTGCTCTCGGCTTCTTCCTTTTTCTCAAGGAGGTCTGGTGGCACAGTGGTTAAAGTGCTTGACTGGTGACTGAGAGATGGAGGATTTAAACTCAGCAGCCATCCTATCACAGGAAAAAGAAGTGACACTGTTTCTGTAACGATTCTCATTGCCACCAAGTCAACTCTGACTCCTAGAAACCCTATCAGACAGAGTAGAATGGTCCACTTGAATTTCCAAGACCATTATTTTTACAGAAGCAGACCGGCACATCTTTCTCTGGAAGAGTGGCTGGTGGGTTTGGACCACTGGTTAGAGGCTGAGTGTTTAATCACTTTACTGACCGGACTGTTCTGTAAAAACTGTAATCTCAGCAACTCTATGAGGCAGTTCTGTTCTATCCAGTGGGATCACCCTCTTTGGAATTGACTGTAGAGTAAATGCAGCATGTCTGTCTGTTTAATGATTGTCTTATGCTCTTCTTAGAAGCCCTGTTGGTATAGTGCGTTACACGTTGGGCTGCTACTGAAAGTCCGCAGTTGGAATACACCAGCTGCTCCATGGGAGAAGGATGTGGCAATCTGCTTCTGTGAAGATTTACACCCTTGGAAACCCTTTACAGCAGTGTCGCTCTGTCCTATAGAGTCATGCGTTACTATGATTTGCAACTGATTGAACAACAGTGGGCATGGCGTTTTGTTTTTAATTTTTTTTTTCTGCTCCAAAGCTCTTAGCAGCAAAGAGTTTATGATCTGAACTCATTGGATAGGATTTTACCCCTTAGTCACCTAAATAACTAGTTTCTCAATAGACAAGTGCTATGTAAACCTCCGCCCAAGGTAGTGCACCACATGCAGTCTAAGACTGTCTTTGTCTTCCAGAAGTCTGTGTGCTTGTAAGACAGAAGCTTGCATATAGGTTATAAAATAGTATTTGTTGATGTTGCTTAATCCCTACAGTGTGAAGTGCAGGGGAAGGCTGTGAGAGATATTATTGCCCTTCTCTATAATCCCATGAAATAGTTATTATACATAAGAGGCTATACCAGAGGTATCACATAACTCAAAGTCAAAAGCAAGTCCAGAATCTCAAATAGGATTCTGATTCATGCATTTCTGAATATGAGTCAGTAGTCATGGCATTAGATACAAATACGGGATGATTTGTTTTGTTTGTTACTTTTTCCATCCTCCCCTCAAAGCCAAAACCACAGCCAAACCCACTGCAATGGGTCTCACCTTACAGGGACCCTACAGGACAAAGTATTTTGCCTTTTAGGGTTTCTGAGGCTGTAAATGAAAGCAGACTGCCTCATGTTTCTCCAGGAGAGTAGCTCGTAGGCTTAAATAGCTGAGCTTTGAGGCTAACAGGGCAGCATTTAACCTCCTGTGCCATGGAGGATCCTTTCCCTCATAAAAGAAATGATAAAGCAGAGGCATGTGTTCATAAATAAGAGACACATGTGCACACACAGCTTGAAACAAAATTATTTTAACTCTTGGTTTTCTCCTGACTCCAAGTTTGTGGTGAGTGCTGGATGACAGAGAATCAGGACGATCACAAAACAAAGGCTGGAGTTGATGCAAAAATCCTGAGACATTCTGGTCAGCAAGCAAAAGCAACTTACCCTCTCTGAGAATTTGTATCACCTCACTTATTTCGTCCTGTTCCTAATGTTCTGTGCCTGGATTTTTCCAGAAGAGAGTAGGTTTGCCTACTTGCTGGGACAAGAGACCAGCAAGGCAGTGAAGACAGTTCCTCATGAGAAAGCCTGAGCCAGCCCCCATGATTTACCCAGTTCTGTCACTCAAACCTGGAAAGGCACCTTATAGGACAATCCAGAAAAAGGAAGAACATGTGAATGTGACAGTGGGAGATGTTAAGAAGAAATTAACAAACTGTCAACAATTTTACTATTTTAATCTACTAAGGGTGTTAGCATTCTTTTGCTCTAGTTTTTAAATTGGCTCGGATTTTATGACCTAGATTAAAAAGATTGTCTCTGTGCCTCTGACAAGATTGAAGATATAAACAGCTTAGTTATCTGACAGTGTCATAAAGTAGGCCAAGTGAGGTGTGAGGGCCTCCACTCCAGAGCCCTGGATCTTCCGTGGGGCAGCAGGGTCTGGGCACATACCCCCGAGTTCCTTCTTTCCACTTATCTCTCTTCAGTACTCCTGTTCTATGCTGCACCCTTCAAGGCTGACCACTGGCTCACCACTGGCCTCATACCACACATCTGGTGACCAGTATATAAGTCCAACAATATAGGACGTTTTAAGAGTCCAAGTAGCTGCTAACCAAGGGGTTGACAGTTTGCATCTCTATAGGAGAAAGACCTAACTAAATTTTCCTATCAATACTCTGTCTCAGAAAATCCTATTACATTATTCTACTCTGTCACATGGGGTCTCTGGAAGTTGAAATAGACTCAGTTGCACCTGACAACAACAATAAGTCCTTCAGAGTGAGATTCTATCGAATCCTCATGCCTGGCCACATGGGTAGCTGTGGTTGCACTCAGGGCCTTTGGCATCTTCTCACACTTAGTGTCTGCACATGGGGGCCACGGTCACGATGTGATCTCCTAAGCCTCAAGTGTAAACTCTTATTTTCATTATTAATGTTTTTATTTCATTAAGATTTAAATGTCTTTCCCCTTCCCATATAGTAAAATATTTGTTCACTTTCAAAATAGTAAAATATGAGCTACATTAAAAATAAAAGTGTAAAAATTACCACAGAATTAATTATTTGTGATATTTTGACATATATCCTTCCAGGTTTGTTGCTATTTTAAGAGGGAGGAAGGGAGGGAAGGAGGGAGGGAGGGAAGGAAGGAGGGAGGGAGGGAGGGAAGGAAGGAGGGAGGGAGGGAGAGAAGGAAGGAGGGAGGGAGCGAGGGAGGGAAGGAGGGAGGCAGATAGCTAGATAGATAAAGAATAGTGTCTATAGTATAAACAAATGTTTTTACTTAGGAAAAAAATACCTTTTTTGATCATTAATATCTCCATTACCTACACATTGTTCATTGTATGGATGTACCATAATGTATTACCCAAACTTGTATTTTTAAAGAGATACATTGATTTCTGTGTTTCACTAGAACAAACACTGTGGCAATGAGCAACATTACACACATCTTTTAGGTACTTGTCTGACTGGTATTAGTGAACCCAGATAGCTCAATGAGTAACAAGTTCAGTTGTCAACCAAAAAGTTAATGATTCTAAACCACCAACTGGTCTCCAGGAGAAAAATGAAGTAATCTGCTTCCATAAAGAATTATTTGCTTGGAAACCCTATAAAGCAGTTTTACTCTGTCCTGCAAGGATTCTGTAAATCACAATGGATGCAGTCATTGATGGAGTCCACCTATGACAATCTTTTCTGTGTCATATCCTTACTGTGAATTGTTGTTTTTATGTGCCATCAAGTTGTCTGCGACACATAGTGACCCTATGTACAATAGCTCTGAAGCCTGCCCTGTCCTGAACCAGTCTCACTGACTCTGACACACCAATCTACATTGCCCTAGTTACTGTATCATTCCATCTTATCTGGGATTTTCCTCTCTTGTCCTGTCCCTCCACCCTTCTGAATACGATGTCCTTCTCCAAGGATTGGTCTCTACTGGCCACATGCCCAAAGTATGTGAAATGGAGCTTCAAAATTCTAGCTTCCAAGGAGAAACCTGGTTTCACCCTCTCCAAGAGAGAATTATTTGTTGTCTTGGTAGTACATGGTATATTAAGACTCTTCTCCAGCACCATAGCTCAAAGCCATCAATACTTCTGCCATCCTTAGGCATTATCCAGCTCTCTGACACATAGCAGATAATTGCAAAGATCTGGCCTAGATCAGGCACACTTTAGTGTCTAGACTGACTTTGTTGCTTTTCAGTACTCTGGAGAGGTCCCTGACAGCAGACTTTCCCAATGCAATTCATCGTTTAATTTCCTGACTGCTTGTACCAAGAGTGTTGATTGTGTAACCAAGCTAGCTGTAACTGTTAACAATCTCTATCTCCTCTTCATCTGTCATGGTGCTGCCAATTGGCCCTGTGGTTAAAATCTGTCTTCTTGATATTGAGCTTCAATCCATAATGAAGACTTGACGACCTGCAGCAAGCACTTCAGGTCCTCCTCAGTTTCAGCCCCTAATTTTTTTTTAAAAAATTTAGTTTATTTACAAAATTCTAATACATTGTTTTTGAGAACAGATTCTTTCCATTTCCCTCAACCCCCTCACTAATTGTATAACCCCATGATCAATACCCTCTCCCTTTGCACTTCCACATCCCTCTGCTTCCACCCTTTCCCACCCCTCTTGGATCCTTCTACTCATTCTACAATAATGGTTTTATACAATATTTGTCCTTGTGGGATTGAGTTAGTTCATTCTGCTCTCCAGTCTCTCTCAAATTAGGTAATAATTTACAAAATCATTGCTCCTGCATGCTGCATAGTATTCCATTGTGTGACTGTACCATAATTTCTCAATTCATTTGTTTGTGGTTGAATATTTGGGCTGTTTCCAAGTTCTTGCAACGGTGAATAATACTGCTGCGAACATTGCTGTACAAATCTTTGTTTGTGCCTCAGTTCTCATTTTCTGAAGGTATGTTCCAAGTAGTGGAATAGCTGGGTTATATGGAATTTCACCTCTTTTTAAAATATGAACTCCAAATGGACTGAGGGCCATTTGACACAAAGACAGTGTGTCAGAGAGTTCAAATATCAAGTAGGGTTTTTTTTCAGACCAGCATTTGACATTATATCCATTTGATAACAAATTGTTTTTGCTCTTGTAGGTTTTGGAAGGGGAAGACTTGCCCTGGCTCAGACAGCAGGTGTCCTGAGGAGTCTGGAACAGGAGGAACCCTTCGACCTTTCCCAGAAGCCCCGGGAAAAAAGGCCAGCCTTTCAGTCTGATGGAGAAAGTGCCAGAGAAAGCTCCTGCCATGAGGAGGAGGAGGAGGATGAAGAGAACTGCTATGAGGTGGAAGTGGAGTCCTACAGCCCCAGCCTTGCCCCCCAGAACAAGCAGCCCTGCTCACCCCAGGATCTATCCAGAAAACCCCAGCAGGCCACAGGGGCCCTTGGAGAAGCCTTTGAAGAGGAGAAGGAGGAAGAGCAGAAAGAAGAGCTGGAGGAAAAGAGCATAGACAAGGTGGATGCAGATGGTGGTCAAGAGAGAGCGTTTGCCCTGGGAGATGAGCACCTAAGCCTCACGGCTTTTCCCAGTGCCCGCAGGGGCCCCTCTTTCTCTGATTACTTATACTTTAAGCACAGGGATGAGAGCTTAAAAGAATTACTGGAGAGGAAAATGGAAAAACAAGCAGTGCTTTTAGGTATCTAAGTGCACAGTTTGAAAATCACGCTTGGAAAATGAGAACTAGGCAGTTCAAATATAGCTTTCTGCGTGAACTGTCATTTGCTAGGGACTAGAGGATGGCACAAATCTTGACAGATGGCTCAGATGGAATGAGGAGAGACAGACACAGTAATGCAAATGTCTCTGGGGTCATTCACTGGACCCGCAGTATTTTGTAATACATGAGCTGTGTCTAATTCAGTGGTATTTTGTGCATCTATCACTCCAGTATATGCATATAAAACTGTACATATTCATCTGGATACCTAATTGTAAGCTGACTACGAGGTGCTTTAGGAAATTCTACTCTCCTCTGACTAATCTATAATACATGGCAGATTTCTTAACTAGTTGCAGAAATATGGTGCTTCACCTGTTACCTTATTAAATTACTGTTTAATGACTACTGTAAAATTTATGAAAGCTATGTTTTTTTAAATAGACAGAAACATTAGTAGTTGTATAAATAAAAATAGCGTGTATTAAAAAAAATCAAACTTACCAGGAAATGGAGGATGAGTTATTGGAAGAGCATAGTTTCAAATAATTACTATAGATATAGCTCTTCAGGAGAATATTAACTATTTTTTTTAATATTAACTATTTTGACTGAAGAAAAGCCAACAGTATTTACAGTCCTGTCTGTCTTAGTTTGCTCCAACAATCTACATCAAACTGGGAATTTAGAACACATTTCCTGATGACCTGGAAGTGCTCAAGCGTTCTGGTCTTTCAGCTTTACCCCTTCAGACAGCCTGGCTGATCCCACTCTCCCTTCTGGAGACCACTGTTGCCTTATACTGAGGCCTCAAAAAACTCTGCTGTCAAGTTGGATCTCACTCACAGCTGACCCTCTAGCAGGTTTTTGAAGGCTGTAAATCAGATGAGAGGAGACTGCCTCTCTTTCTCCTGCAAAGCAGCTAGTGGATTTGAACTGGTAGAGTTATGGCCTTATAGCAACTCCTTACAGACTGTGCCAGCTGAATGCTCCATAAAATGACCTCAGGAAGCAAAGCTTTCGCAGGTGAATGGGTGGATTTCTTCTCAGTGCTGGACCTGGAAGGGAAATCTCCCTGAAATGTAAGCTCTGACTTCTTTTGGGTTTTAGAATCATCAGCAGCTTATCACTGATAAACGAGACTTGGCTATATTGACAGCTCTGGCCGCATATGAGAATTACATGTTAGGAGCCTTTAATCAACCATGAAAAAATCTGATGGAATAGGGCTACTCTGACATATGTGGATTTTCCATGAATTGGAACTGACTTGATGACAACTCTAGTTTTGTCGGAGGTGAAGGGGCTTTGGAGGAGGGGAAGGGAGCCTTTGAAAAACTTTCAATAACCGGACCTCATACCAAGGAATTCTGATTTAATTGGGTTGGATCAGAACCCTTGGTGACTCTTATAGGATCAGGGTTGGGGAAGACTGATTGGGCTAAAATACCACTCATCTCTTTCTATGGATTCCAGGCACTTCATAAGTATTTCTGCTCCCAGGTTCAGACTCAGTAAGGCACAGAACAGTGACTTCATAATCATACTACTGGCCTCAGCTTTCTTACCTGTTCTGTAAATGGGTCTGTAGGCACACTAGACGTCCACATTGAGTGTGCACGTGCACACACACACACGTGCGCATGCATATGGAAACACACATTTTGTATTAGAAGATGATGCCTGTGATGTTCATGGTCATTTCATATTTTTTAAAATGCAAGGTGGACTCATAATAACTTCTCTTTCCAAATGTTTCAACTACTGCTCTAGTGAATGAAGATAACTTTAATCGGTGGGTTTGGACCTGCAGGTGGGCATCCTTAGGCATTGGGTTAAGTTACATAGATTTGAGGTGATGCTGTACACATGTGACACATCATAAGCAGGGACCCTTTTGCTCACAGATGGCCTCTTGGTTGGTAATTTCAACCCTCATTTGCAGTGCTCAGAACTGTTTGCTATTTCACTCCCTCTCCTCCTACTTCACAGCACATTCTATTGGAAGACCTGACCATATTTGACTCGTGGATGTCAGCTTTGTCCATGAGATATCAAGCTTCTCAATCCTCTAGTCCTCAACAACCACTCATGTGCCTTGCTTTTGCTGAAAGTGCCCACCTGTCACTACCATCATCCCATGAACACCACGGTATAGTGACAGCACTGTTGGGTTTCTATCGCCAGTTGTATCTCAAGATCAGAGGTGGTGAAGAGAATGTTGTGGGTCTCCGCTGTTATAAGTGCAACTCTGGATTGAGATCTTGATCCAAATCCTCTCATTCACATGCTCATCAGTGCTGCTCCTGCCTCCTTGGAATCTAGAGGAATGATCTGTGAGACTAGTTCTTTGAGCCCTGCCATAAATTCACTCATTCAGTAGCCTTGAGTTGAGTACCTGCTTGGTACCATTTCTGATCACAATGCTGTATTCTTACAGTTTGTTTTGGGTAGGTCTAGCTAGAATTGGGGGGGGGGGGAATGAAAACTCAAACTCATTGCTTTCAAATCAGAACTTAAAACTTAACCCCCAGCAGGTTTTCAAAGATTGTAAATTGCTAGGGAGGAGATTACCCATCCTAGTCCTGAGAAGTAGGTGGAGGATTCAAACTGCCTGCTTTTGGACTGGCAGATCCACCAGAGCTCTCTTATCTTAGTGGAAAAGGAATCCTAGTCACAAGTTCCACCCCTTTCAGATTAAAATAAACCATGTGGGAATGTTTGAGGAGCCAGTGGATGTTGAGATGGAAAGAGTATAGTCTACATTGGTGGTTTTCAAGCTGTGCTGGGCAGAGCTGGCATTCTTTGTCAGGCCTGTCTAGAGACGCTGGGGGGTGTGGGGAGAGAAACTCAGCCGACTCTCAACCCTACGCCTACTCCTCTCAAGGCAGCTCAGATTTCATCTGTTTTATGTTAGAGTTCCAAGAAAGATTTAATTTGGAGGGAGTGAAAAAAAAAGTTTCAAGAAAAGTAATAAAAATGTGTTATGGAGTGCATTTCAAGGTCTGTTTTTCAGTTCTTGGTCCTTTGTAGGAGAGACTTAATTAGATCTAACCTGAAAGTATTATAACTCATACTGGCTGAAAACCAAAAGCCTACAGTCTTGATTTTGTGTGTAGCTGGGAAACCAATATTCTGATGTTCCTGAGACAAACCTAGTTAATACCTCTAGCCCAGGATTATGACTAATAGAGTCACCTTAACTCTCAAAAGTATCCCAATTTGAATGATAAATTATATGGGCAATGTTTGCAAAAAAATGCAGAGATAAGGCAGAGTTGGTCAAAATTGCCTGATGGGATGATTAACCCACATACACCTGAAGGAGAACTCATCTAAGCCATTCTCAGAGAATGAAAGAATGAAACCATCAGAGGTTTCTAACAGTGTGAAGCCCAGGACAGCGTGACATACATCACATTGTAACACTTTGAAAATAGGTCATTACCAAATACTTTCCAGGCTTTTGACCACTGTCCTTTTGAACCAACTCACTGGCCAGCCAAGTGGCACATTATATTCCTTTGTGCTTTTCATGCAAGTCTGTTATCAACCCTCTCACTGCCTTTCAATTCCCCTTTTATTCTCTCTACTGAAAATTTGACTCCCCACTGACCATGAGACTGAGGCTGACCTTTAATTAACCCTCAGGGGTGACTTGGTATATCTGTATATGGATAGATGTGTGAGAAAACTCAATGTGCATACTGTATTTATTAAGTCCTAAGGGCATTTAATATTAACACCGTGTTTTAAGTTATGACATTTTTTCAGAACAAAAAGTAACAGAGCTAACATTTAAAATCCTTCACGTATTTGGACAACATTACACCAAATGTTGATTTTGTACAGAATTCTGGCTTGCTATTTAAAAACTAGAACTCCAAATGTTTATCAATCCAAGTTGTGAATATGGCTTTTTACTTCAATGAAAAAGCCTTTTACCTGAAAATAGTATGTAGCTTATTTTTTATGTTAATTTAAGCAAATAAAGACATATTTTTAAAAAGTCACTTTACTGACTTGCAAATACCTGAAGTTTTGCAAAGGTGCTGTCATTGTCATAATTTCTCTCTTGTCCTCACTCCCTCCTCCAGGATAATTCTTATAGTTGAGTCCTCTCCTCAGGGAAACAGGGTTACCATTACTCCCTCCCTCAGGGCTTCATACAAAATTCATGGCCCTCAAAGCAGGTGACACCTTCCTGGTGTGAGTCTTCCTTGTCTAGGAAATTAATTTCTGGAAGGATGCAAGAAAGAAGACAGTTGGAGGAAGGGTTACCTTGTTCTGCTTCATGTTTTTAAGATAATAAAGTTCAACTATGCAAATATTTGCCAAAAGGCAGAGTACCTTAGTTAACAAGTGTATTTTAGTGTTCATGATGCCAGGCTGCATGAGTTCAAAGCCTATCTCACTTCCATCCCAATTTTGGAAATGTAGGCCATTCAGCACACTGCGTCTTTGTCTATAAAATGGAGCTAGGGATAGTACTTACACATTAGACTGTTGTGGGTTGAGTTAATATATACAATACATAGAGAATGTGCCTGGTTCAGAGTTGTCTGGTTCATAGTCAATTTCTGAGGCATCTTCCATTAAAACACCAGTGAAACTGGAACACTTATTGGGGACTGGTGTTTGTCAAACACTGTGCCTAGTAATGTGCCTAGTAATTTGTATATTTTTGTCTCATTTAAGCTTCACACAACCCTACAAAGCAAACCCTGCTACCCTTATTTTTACCAATGAGAAAATAGTGACTCAGGAGAGTTCAATTAACTTGACTCAAATATAACCTGTAGGAGGTTATGTTCTCTGGAAGCACACACTTAGACAAAGTTTAGATGAAAGATCTTTATTATAGATTAACATCAGTGCAAAGAAGGAGAAAGAGGAAGGAAGGAAGGAGAGAGGGAGGGAGGGAGGAAGAAAGAAAAAGAAAAGTAGGGCAGAAGAAAGAAAGGACAGAAGCTAAAGTGCAATTGAAACTGGATAGTCTTGTCCATGTGGTAGAAGCTCTAGGGCACATGTTGTCTATCACACTTGTACTATGTTGAGTCAAAATGTCCCCCAATCTCTTAGTGACTGAAACTGACCTAACCAGAAAGAAACATGACCCCAGAATGAGTGAGACTCTGCAGCAGGATAAGATTCTGAAGAAGT